AAAGAGGAAAGAAGAAGCTCGCACGAATCCGAGTTTAGCTCTGCATCACAGTTTGAGGAAGAACTCTTTCAACTACTCACTAACTACACAAAGAAAGGGAAGAAGAAGATCTTAGGAATAAGGAGCAAAGAGTCAGTTTCTCTCACTCTAACTTCATTATTTCAAGAGCAAGTTCATGGAACCCGCTCCCAGACCTAAGTTTTACATTAATATATAAATAACTAAAATGAATCTAAAATATAAAAATAAAAGACTAAAAATATAATTTAGCTAGAAAAAAATAAGATAGAGAATATGATAGTCATAAAGATTTAAAAAAAAATGATAAAGATGAAGATATAAAAATAAAATTTAAAGAATAGTAAAAATAGGATCACAAAAATAAGATTTAAAGAATGATGAAGATAAAGGTAAAAGCTTACAACTTAAAAGAATAAAGACGAGAAAGTGTGAGTCACTTGATTGATGGATGGAAAAAAAATAAAAGATTGTAAAATTCATATAAAATTATTAGAAAGAGAAGATGATAGAAGAAAAGAAGATAAGGAAGGAAAAAGATTGGTACAAGAAAAAGAGGTGAGCAAAAAATTCTCAAAGTAAATAAACTTTTAAACATGAACTAAATTGATATATTATCAATAATTAACTAAATTGATATATTTTTAATATAATTTATTTTTTTAATTTACTTAGGGAGTTTAAATGCACTATAGTGCATGAAAATGACACTCAATGTATTGTAATATAATTATTCTTAGTTTCTTTAAGTATTTGAGAAAAAAAAAAATATATATATATATATATATACATATTATAACACAAAAATATCTTTAAAATAATCAAAATGACACATATATTCTAATTATTAATCAAATAAAATTAACATATAAATTAATTAGTTTGGTTCAAGTTAGTTAAGATTTTTAGTATGTAAATTTTAAACATGAACCAATTAAATTAGATTTAATTAATTTGATTGGAATTGAAACCGAACCAATTTAATTGATTCGATAAGAATTGATCTATTCCAATGAATACTCGTACTAAATAGGATATTTATTTATATATATAATTTATTATAAATTTTAATAATATATTATAAATATTTAACATGTGTAATACACATAATAAAATATCAATAAAATATGTTTTATGAAAAATTTTGAGAAACGTCTTCTATTAAACAATCTTTTCTCAATACTTAAGTAATAATTTTTTTTTAAAGTAATGTGATTCTTTTCATCTTAAAAATTTCTTTATACACATATTACATCTTAATTAACATCTTAAATTTATATGAGAATAAAAACAACCTTATATTTATCTAAATAGCACCCCAATATTTCATATTAGAAATTTAAATAGTTTTTCCACAATTATCAAATTGACTTTTGCCATTAGTTCTCTCAATTTCTTCTACCACGAGTGTGGACTTCCAACGATTGGACTTTGGACTTTGGAAAACCAACTCCAAAATAAAAAATAATAATAATAATAAAAAGTTCAATCAATCCACCAAATAAGAACATTAAGGCATGAAGATATTGAATGTTTGAATGTTTTTTGTGAAACCATTCATCAATTACCTATTTGGGCAAAGCACTAATCGTAGAAGTTAATTGCATTTGGTAATGCTCAGGTGGAAAGGCAAAACAGAAAAATGACCTGTGTATGATCCTAACTAGAAAAAGAATTTTCGTATGTGACAATGTTATAGCTACCCATTACCCTTGATCAGAATAAGAATATAGGAGATTACAAATATTCCTTGAAAGAGAAGGTCGGTTATATGATGTTAATGGAATGCGTGGTGAAGCATTATTATTCCTTATGCAAAAGTGGAAAGAAAAGGCCAGAACAAATGAAGAGGATCACCACAAAATAATTGTTAATAAATAGGTGATGCTGATATGGTGGTAAAACTATTTACATTAATTCCTTTATGATTTGTTTTATTCGAGGGAATTTTATCTAACTTTAGTGATAAAATTCATGTCGATTTGGTTACGGGAGTCAACTCAACTGTAACTTAGAAAAGCATATAATGACACACTACTTATCAAAAGCACCGGAGATAGTGAAAGAATAATGCCGACACTCAAACCATTAAAATATTTTTTTTATATTTACAATTTTTTTCTCTTTCTATTATATTTTTAAATTCATATATTATGACTTCATATACATTATTTCTATTCGAACTATTTGAATTAGCCTAGTTATGTAAAAATTGAATAACATGTACAAAATTTTAAATTAAAATTTTAGTGTTATCATTGAGATGGTAATTTTGAAGATAAAATAATAGATTTAAATATATTTTAAATTCCTCAAATTTAAGTATAGTTTTTTTTATCACAAATTTGAAACTTGTATTTTTAATTTCTATAATTTTTAAAATATTATTTTGGTATCTCAAGTTTAAATCCCAAAATATAAAAAAAAATTATTATTTTAGCCTTTTTCAATTTGTCATTATTAGAAATTAAAATAATGTTTTTTTAAAATTATAAAAACTAAAAATTGAAAAAACAAAATAATTAGTTTTAATATTTTAGAAACTAACAACACGTTTTAGATTTGGAGGACAAAATAAATATATTGTCCAAATTTGGAAAACTGCAAGCTTAAATAAGCCCAAAAAACAAAAAAAAAAACATACGTATCCTTTTCAACTTTTTCCAATAATGTAAAAGCCAAATATTTAACACATTCGTTTCTTTACTCCTAAAGATTTAATACCAGCGAAAATAAATCAGATTCTGGAGTCAAAGATATTCTTGCTTTAGCATATCCCCTTAATAGTACGTTTATAAAAATAATAAATAAATAAGAAGACATTTCTATTCTATTTGAGTTTCCTTTAAGAAAGAATAGCGATTGAAAAAAATACCATGAATGTTACGAAATCTTTCAATTATCAAATAAATATAAAGCTTCTGAACATTTTTCAGTCAATAAACTATTCTTCAAAAAATAAAATAGACAATAATCAAGCAAGCCTAACTCCATTAAACTATTGACCAATTCCTAAAAAAACCACAAAAAAGAACAGAATGGGAGATATATTGTAATATCATTAGCATATGCATCGAATACGTCCACCAAAACAAGAGGTTCAACTAATTTAATATATAAACTCAAAGTGATTAGAAGTGTTTCATTGGATATCTAAATGCTAGCTGAGTAGGACGCCCCAAAGTCCACAATTCCACTGGTCCATATAATCATTCAGGGATAACTAGGCCTAGACATCAAATATGTAATATGCTGTTTCATCAATTGTACAGAGACATAGAATTGTTATAAAAGCAATTTAGTTCATGCACAATCTACAGTACTTCTCCAACAACAGAATTTGATGCTCAGACAGTTCCATTATTTATATAATGCAATTAAAAACTACCAACACTGCGATGATAGTATCCTATTGAGAATGGAGACAATGATAATAAAATAATATAGTAATAAACTTCAATTGAATGTTACGTGCTCAAAGGATCATCAATCTTTAAATATTCCTAAATCACCCACTCCCTGGCATCGACAATTATTAATTCCAAATTACATGAGAAACGTCATATCCAACATCCTGTATTTTTCATCCCCAAAATTGGACCAAAATGGAGACACAAGGAATTAACTCTAATGACCCTTCTGTAATTTCATTTTCTACCCCAAAATATAAAGAAATAAAATTAAAAAGATTGATCAAACTTAGGAATAGGACTGCATTGCGATAGAACATTTGCTCCTCAAGGAACGAAAAAATGACAGGAATGTGAGCCTAAAATTTTAATAGATAGGCAGCCAAAAAACCCCTACACTGGCATTAATTCACTGAATGCCACCCAGTGGTTTTCTGAACCTTCCAAGTTACTTTTGTAACACTAAACCTGAAAATGAATTTCCCTCAGTGGTTCCTTTCCTTACTGCTTCCTTTCTTAGTTACTGTAACCATCTTCCAATTCCATCAACAAAATTCAAAAAGAACATATATTATTTACTGAAACATTTCTGTTGTTAACTACCTCAGGATCAGCGAAACTCATTTCAGTTTTGCTGAGCCACAAGATGATCAAGCTGCATCTGTTCAAGCCATGCTCCCAGTACAGCATGATCAACAGACTCCATTTGTGTGCTCATATTTGATCCCTCATTGGAGGATCCAGCTGCTCCAACATTTGAGACACTAGTTGCCAATTTATCTTTAATTTCTGTTGGTGATTCTTTAACAAGTGACTGGACCCACGATAAATCAGGCTCCTCACCATTGTTCCCGAGCTCAAATGAAGATGACCTTCGGAGCTTACCTACTTCATCAGCACCAACAGGCCAATCCAACTTACCATTTGGTGATCCCCATTTTGACCAAGAATTGGCAGAGGCAGCAGCTGCAGCAGCAACAGCAGAGTTGGAGCCGAGTTCCCGGGAGCTTAAGCTGCGAAATTGTTGCTTCTCACGCTGAGCTAGCATAGAAATCCTAGAACCCATTGGAGAAATTGGTTCCACATTTCGCGGAGACATTCTTCCTGATGCCTGAACCCCATATGAGGCCTGCAATAAATGATGGTCAACATTTTTAGAAGAAAAATTTGTATTCACAGGTGCCAACAAGCTTTGCTGCTGCTGAAACTGATTGAGGACAGCTGATTTGTGAGTTGGAGAAAATACAGCTGAAGTCAATGTTGGATCAGCGTATCGGGGAGAAGAACTCTCAGCAGAAAAGAGATCATCAAGATTTGAAGGAGTCAGAGGTTTCACAATAAGGCCGTATTGAAGTTCAGTGCAGCCGTATTGAAGGTCAGTGGTATTAGAATTTATTGGCTGTGGAGAGAGGCATGATAACTCATTAAGGAGCTGTTGCTGCTGATCAAAATCAGGTAACATATCAAAATCATCCATAGGAATATCTCTAGCATTGAGTGAAGATCTCAAACGACTAGACTGGAGATTACTTCCCGGAAGATGCAATGCTGGGATGTTTGGCTGGGGCCAAGCGACAGAAGAGTGTGAAATGCCATTGGCAGAAGGTGACATGGGAGGAGTGAACGGGGAAGGAGACATGACCGACATCGAGGAAGGAGAGCCAGGCAACATGTTCATGGCTGCAGCAAAATCCATGGCAGAAGATGTGCTTGATCTTGGAGAAGGAACAGCAGAACCAGTTGAAACATATAATGGTCGAAGCTCTTCAGCAGTGTGGGCAAAGAAGCAAACTCTTCTGGAACAATTTGTTCCATCCTTGCACAGTCGGGTTCTATACTGTGCAGGATGCAACCAGCATTCAAAAACCCCATGAGCATATTCACACATGTCTCCCCGCCTACAAGCACCCTTACGAAAGTCAGGACAAGGAACACAGCTGTAATGGTACTTTCTGGGATCCCTTCGTCGAGCATTCTCCCCTGGATGAACAAAAGGGCATTCAGTCCAATCATGTGAATAAGCACGGGAACAAGGTCGAACCTTGAAAGAATACATTCGGAATTCATCAGTTGAGTATATGCTGTTCTTGATGTCAGGAAGTGATGGATCAACAGGATACTCTTTCTTCTCAGATGCAGAAGAAACAGGGGCGTCATTAGACTTCAACTTAAGCTGGAAATCTGCAGCAGAAGGAGACCCAATCTCCGGCGAGGTTGACAAGGGTGGTGAATATGCATTGGATGAGATTGTGATAACCCTAAGATTACATCCAGCAATAGAATCATTAGTTTGAAGAAGCTCCTCAAGACTGTTTTTAACATGTTCAAGCTTGGGAGGAAAAACAATAACATCTCCAGGACGATGCCCGTTGGCATCCACAGAATTCGGATCAGCCCCTGCTTCCAAAAGCAGTTTCACAGCATCAACAGCATTTTCAGCCCCACCTGATGCCGCACAATGAAGGGCAGTGCTTCTGTCAAGGCCACAAGGTCGGTTAACATCAGCATCAGATAGAGAAAGAACGAGTTTCATAATATCAATGCTACCATAGGTAGCAGCAACCATCAAAGGAGTTCTTTGCTCATTGACCATCTGCTTTGACCCCTTGCGGCGACCATACCATAGCCCAACCTCGTCTACGGAGGAAGGATCACACTCAATCAATCGTTTGAAACCCTTAACATCATTATTGGCTGCAAGTTCAAGCAAGCTTGCAAAAGAATCTTCAGTGTCAACAGAAAAGTGATTCATCTCGTGGCTTCTAGGTTGAGATGTGCAAATCAAAATAGGCAACGGAGATGGAGATAGTGCTGGCTTTAACCGCTCCAACTCACAGCACATACTTTCATTTGCAGGAGGAGACTCAGCTGAGGAAAAAACCACAAACCCATTAAAGCTAGTCCTTCAGAAACACCAAAAAATACATAAGTAAAATTACATCAAAGCAGATGCACTACCACAAGCATCCAAACTCATTAAAAACACATAACATAGTCACTTACTGAATTTAAACACACAAGGTAATAAAGCTAACCAACAATCAAATCAAATATCCAACTAGAGAAAACAAAAGCATAAAAAATATCAACTTTTTTTTATCAACAAATCATCTGGGAAAACATCACTGCTTCAAAAGGAAAAAAAGAAGAAACAAATAGAAAAAGATCAACCTCCTCTTACAACCATCCAAGTTCCTCTACTCTTCTTCAAACATCCAGAAACCAAAGAGCAGAACATAATTTCTTGTTTTCAAACAACAATCAGAAACAATGAAGGAACAAAGCAAGCACTTTACGAAATCAAACAGCGAGTGAACTAAACCTAGATTCACAAAAAGCCAACAACTGAAAAGAACAGAACACATTCCAAAAATAAAAAAAAAAAACAATAATAACAAAATATTTCCCCCACGCTCACAAGAGCTGAATAAGACAAAGATCATTCGCGGATCACGGTAGCACCATATTTGGCACACACTTTAACATCATTACGCAAAGGAGGAAACAAATAGAGACAGAAACTAACTCAAAGAGGGATCCAAAACCTAAACTTGGAAAGTGATCTCAACCACGAACTGAATCTTACCACTCCTAAGCAACTCACTCAGGAAGCAAGTAAACGAAACGACAACGCATCAAAGCTTTGACACAACCCTCAGATCTCAATGGAGAAAGAGTGAAAGAAAGAAAAGCCAAGCTCAGTGTGTTTCAATTCTGAGAAAATCTGCTGAGAAAAACACATAAAATCGTGACAAAAGAGGAGCTAGTAAGAGACCTTCTTCTTCTTTCTCCATTACCTATGCACTCTTTTTTTTTTTTTCTATTCTCCCTTAAAAAAATAAAAAATATAAAATAGGAGTAACACACAAAAGAGCCCTTCCTAGTTCCTATTTTAAAATAATGATTATTTTCAGTTTCATAAATTTGCCGGACCAGTTAAATTGAGCCACTTAAAAAATGGAGTAAAATGATGATAATATTAATAAATATAAAAAATTAATTAATTATTATCAATTAAAAAAAAAAAGGATGAAGCGCACTGAGATGAGAGTTACGATTTTGATTATTTTTCAGTGGATGCCCATTACCAAATGAACCCCTTTTTGGTTTTCCAATTTCCAATCACATACAGCCTCGTCATGGAGTGGAGGACACGATCGTCTTTTTCAAAAAATAAGGGACAAAAAAGTAAATTTTTGGCTGACGTGGTTTATTCTCTAAGCGAGTTACGACAAACGCTCCTTGTAATAATTTAACACTTTTCCACTTGCTGGCTGAAATTTTCTGGAAATTCAGTCCAAATTCACCTCACATGCAAAGCCTTTCGGATAAAACCGAAGCGAGGATCTAGTGCAACTCGTGTCTCAGGAGTCACACACGTGGCGCCAACTTATTTGAGATTTGAAAAAAAAATTCTTAAATATATTTTCCTTTAAATTTAAAATAAATTTATTTTTATTTTTCAAATTTAAATTTATTATTTTCAATTTTATAATTTTTAAAAATCTTATTATAATCTCTTAAGATATCATTAACATGTTTAAAAATACAAAATTAAAAAAAAATTATTCTTAAATTTAAAGACTAAACCTATGTATATTATTTTTTTACTTTGGCTATTACCAGGTTTGAGATTTATTTCAGCTTAACTAATCCCAAACCTGTTGGGAGGTGAAAATGGAGAAGAAACGTTAGGTAAATCAGCGGGACACGGTGACCGGATGAAGCAGTTGCATTGAAGTGGATTGAAATGAGTTGTTGGAATCCGGGTGTACGTACGGACCCGGATTTCAGACACTAGTCAATTGTGATTTAATGGTGGAGAGAGTCAAATCATGGAGAAATAAAATAGAAAAAGAAAAAGGAAAAGAAACAAAAAAGAAAAACATGTTGCATGCAACAACACTCGATAACAATGGAAATGGAATTTATATTCATGATTCATCATGAGAATTTTAAAAAGCATGCATCTATTATAATTATAATTTTTTTTAAATGAAAGCAAGAAGCATAAATTTGGAAAAAGAAATATACAATTGATAAGATAAAAAGCATAGTATCACAATCTTTCTGCTGTTTTAGCATAATTTTCTTTATGTGATAGCTTTAGCATATTTAAGGTCTTTTAATGTTGTATTTGTTATTTTATCTTTTTTTTTATTCTTTATTCTCTTTTGCTTTCTCTTAATAATTTTTAAGTCTTTTTTTGTCATTGGGATATTTGTCTAGTTTTTATTTGAATTTACAATTTATGACTTTTTTTATTTTTATTTAAAATATCAAGTTATTCAAATTGTACATATTTTTAAAAAAACATGTACTGTATTATTGTCAAATGTATTTTTTAAAATATATGTTGTTTTAAAAAATATATATGATTTCCTTGTCAATTATCACAAACTCTATTAATATTGTTCTTTGATTTGGTTTTTTTTTGTAGGAGATGAACAGAACGAGCATCTTTTGTGTTTCTCCAGTTCATACGATCGAAGTATGAAGTAGCTTCATTTGTTTCTTTTCTACTACAACTTTTTCTATTAAAAAAATTATTAAAATACTTTTTTAAGTTTCATCAAACTCTTATTTTTTTATATTTTTTTTAAGAGTTAATCACCTATACACTGTCGGTATAAAAAAAATTTATACTGATAACCAATTATATATTTTAATAGTATCATGTTAGTTGCTTATTTAATTAAATAAAAATAAAATAAAATAATTTAAAATATATGATTGGTTACACTGACAATATATGGATGATTAACTCTTTTTTTAATTAATATGTATGACTTTGATGATTAAGTACTTAAATGAGTCATCAATGTTTTTTAAAAATCAATATGATATATTAGTCTTTACTTAATCAAATGTATAATTGGTTATTAAAGATTTTGTCACATAATCTATTTTTTATTTAATTTATTCAAGACAAGTTTTAAAACATTAATTATATTGCAACTAAGTAATGAAAATTATAACAATAAAAAATAATAATAAGTTACAATCGCACTTATTAAACAAAGAAAAAATGATGATTAAAATGACAATGATTGAAGTGAATAACTTATAAAATTCTTTAACCTATTTTGGGGTCCATCAAATTTTTTGTAACATTTTCACAACGCTCGATTCTACTAAATCAAAAATCTAATACTGGAGCAATCTTCAAACACTAAATTAAGTAATCAAAGTTTAACCATCAACTACTTTTGAATTTAGGTTAAAAACTTTGAAAGACTAAAACATGCTAGGATATAGCAAGTTAATAGGGAGTATGGTAGACTTCACTAAACTTCCTTATTTATAAAAATCCAATACACAAAGATTAAACTACGTGAAGACAATCTCAACATATTCAATAGCTAAAGAGATTAGAAAATTTAACCTAAAATATCACATGACGTTTTTTTGCTACAAAACATTATCAACAATCGAGAGTACCAAATTATATCTTAGCATATAATGGTGTTGGAAAGATAATTAAATTTAATAAAGCTAAAATGTGGTTTAAGGGGCACTTAATCTCTAATTTTAAAATTAATAGTGTTGTATGTTGAAACAAAAGGACAATGTTCATTAATATGTCTTTTGCAGATACCCACATATTCAGAGACACAAAACTATAATCTTTAGTTCAAAAAGTATCGCAAAATATGATTACAAAAGTACCTTTAGGTAGATAAAACTTTACTATTGTTGTTCTAAAAAAATGTTTATTCCATAACTTTATTTGAAATAAATTTATTTTAACTTTTTTTTTATAAAATAAAATAAAATGACAGTAACTAGTAAATAAAACGAGAGAACTAATAAGGATGAGAGTAAGTTAGACCAAGCCAAACTTTAAATATATAGTTTGGATCTATTATAAAAAAAATATAGTTTAAATCTTACCTATTTTGCATTAACAATGTTAAATTGACCAATAAATTTGACTTTAAATAAGTCAATAATTATATATTTTTTTAAATATATGTATCGGTCTTTTTTAATTTACATGACAAAAAAAATAATTTATTCTATTATTATTAAAATTTAGAGTTAATATATATATATAAAGAAATACAAGTTAAGCATGTCAATGTACATTAATGTGCACTCATGTACAAATTATAATGAAAGAAAACTTATAAAAAAAGATATAAACATTTTTTATATCTCATTTAATTTGAAGTATTTTAAATAATCAACTATAAAAATAAAGGGAAAAACCAAATGAAAAAGTTACTAAAATTTATATTTTTGACTTCATAATTTCACTCAAATAAAGAATATAATTTTAAAAAATAAACAAATTAAGCCTGACCTTTTGAGAAATATATTATAAATTTTTAAAATAATTACATATTCTTTAAAAATAATCACCAAAGTACGGATCATTTCATAAAAATATTTTCTACTGATGATACATAAAAACTTAAAAAGTTATAAATTGAGAAATTAATTTTTTGTTAAATTTAATTTTAAAAACATCAATAATAATTTATAGTCTATAACTATGTTAAAATTTAAGTACTTTTACACTATAATATTTCGTCATATCAAACTACAATAAAAAAACAAAAGTATCTAATCTGTATTAATAAATTATTTACATCAATACATCCATTCATTATAATCATTATACTCAACAATTTTCTCAACTAATAATGGAAATAATAATTTATCTAAGATTCTATATTTACAATAATTGTATATGTACTATGTAATATGCATATAAGTCTAAAACAACTATACAAGTATAAAATAGTATAAATATAGTAAGCCATCAAATTTAAAATATATGTACATTATAATGAGAGTAACATCAAAATAATATTAAATGCTACCATCTGCCAGATGATCTCCACTGTATACCTCCTTGTACCTATCATTGTTTGTTCTCATATTAAATATGATTATCGCAGTTCAGCCACATAAAAAAAAAGGTAAGATAGAGTTCAAAAAATCAACATAGTCAACAAACAATATGAATCATAATCATATATTTACATATCATGCTCAATTCAACATTCAACTCAAATCAACATTATCAATATAGCATATGAATATCACAACTCAGATAACACATCATATGCAAAACAATTAACTATATGTATTGTCACGCATTTCAACTATGAAGATCTCTTACAATACAGGTGAGTAATCTTAAGTGGTTTCACCTTACCAAATGTTAAGTCTCAATTATACATCTTTTTGAATGAGAATTATTGTACAACTCTACTCATTCTTAGCACCATTGCAAGATAATTGTTCCCTTTTTGACTCATCTTTTGTGCAGATATAGCTAACCCATTTTAGCTAACAATACCTTAATACACCTCATTTTTTGTGCAGGTATTGAGCTAGAGATTTGAGGATTGAAGATCTTTTGGATTGGAAACATAAGGAGCCAAGGAGCAGAGCAGAGTGGCTGCGCCGGGCGCAAGATGACGCCGCGCCGGGCTTGAGAAGAACAGAGCAGTGGGCTTCTGGAAGTCATACATGCGCCGGGCGCGAGACTCCACCACGCCGGGCGTG